TCCCACAGAAACGATGAAAATCATCCCTGCTTTCACCTAAAGTGACAGATATAAATCACTGAACAAACGTATCGATTTCATTACCTTTTCTTCACACTTGGGGCTTATCGTGAGACCACCTTCCCGGAACTCAATGCCGGTGACAAATCTAAATTCGACCCATTTAACTTGTAGCGCCGAAAGCGGAGTCTCATCCGTTCACTCACCCGAAATCCTTCTTGTGCAGTTTGTCAGCAATGTCAGGGCACTTTTCGCGAAAAGTTTTCACTCCAAGATCGTAAACATCTCTCAACTTTGCTCCTGGCTTCAATGCTTCTATTATAGCAGCTTGAGTAGCAAGAAGACCTTCGTATGCTTCTTCGAGATTTTTCGATGGTTCCACCATCAATGTTCGTGTTAGATTTGTACAGTAGTTCTGAATGGATTATGCTATCGTGCAGGTGTAAGCAGAAAATCAGTGCAAGCCTCACTTCCAGTCTTGCACCGAGGGATGTAACAATGACACCGAAGTGGAGAAGCTTGTCCGAGCTGGAAAACATCATTATCACTTCCATTGTCATCCAAATACTCTACACACCTCTCAGTACTCCATTTAAGAGAGTAATTGCCTCCACTCATGATTATAGGATTATAACAAGTTTCAATGGTTTTGTTCTTTGCCAGTGGTCCCTGCACTTTCAACGATCCGATTTCCGAATCAATTTCGTTAGCAAGACGAGAGTGTTTCACTTTCTGAAAAACTACTCTACTGAAACCCCACCAAAAATACTCAGTTTTTATCAAACCTTTTCCTGGTCAATAGCCTCTATAAACTTCTTTCGAGCGTAACTCCATGCATTAACAGTTGCCGCGGCCGAGTTCCGGCACATCTCTATTTCGGGTTCATCTTTTACAGCAAATACGTGGACAAACGCAGCGGACAGGTCAACCTAAAACAGAAATAAATCATAACGGGGTGAAAAATAATGCGTGCGTTCATCGAGACTGCTGAAGTTGTTAAAGGAGAGCACTACAGGTCCCATCGAATCAAATATGGAGGTGACGTGATGCTTTATAACAGATACGCAACCAGTTTCTTACCTTTTCAACGTC